GCTTCCGCTTCCGCCTCCGCCTCGATACTCATTTCGCCGGCCAGCGAGACCAGCGAGGGTCGGGACGCCTCGCCACCGGACGGAGGCAAGTCCTCGCCGCCGGCGTACACGGGCCTCAGCCCGCCAGAGTACGCCGGGCACGAGTACGAGAGCTGCGAGACGCCGTCGCCCATCTTCGCCAGCTACCCGCTGGCCTCGTACGCCGAGGAGACGCGCCACGGCCGGTCCAGGTCCTCCGTCTCGGAGGCGGACCGGCGCCTAGCGGCCGAGCAGCGGTTCGCCGAGTCCGACAGAGCGGAGGGCCCGCGTAGGTCCAACTCCTCGAGGGACGGCGCGTTCGAGGAGACCGCGGGCAGGTCCAGGGACGTCGCCAGGCTGCGGCCGCCGCTGACCGCCGTGGCCGGCACCTCCGCCGACTCCGGCACCGGCGACTCCGGCAGCGCCGAGATCCAGGTGGATCCTCTCGGCACGCCCCGCGCCAACGCCGCCGGCGAGATCAACGACGCGGCCAGCTCGCCCGGCGAGATCGGGAACGGCAACAAGTCCTCCTCCGTCAAGACGCCGACCGGCGGCAAGCAGACCGTCAAGCTCTTCACCAAGGAGAGCCTCGACCGCCTGGAGAACAGGACCGTGCAGCTCGTCAGGGATTACGGGTTCCAACCGAAGAGACGCATGTCCGTCGAGGACGGCGCGGTGCTTCCAAACAAATACGAACCGTTCCCCACCGAACTCTACGGCAGGCCGCTCGAGGAGATCGACAATTTTATTTACGACGAGGTGAGTAGTCCTCCTTCCTCCTCCTCCTCCTCCTCCTCCTCCTTCTTCTTCTTCTTCTTCTTCTTCGGGCACCCAGTTTCTCGCGGGCATTGTCTCCCGCCGAGATATAGGTTATTAGGCGAAACATTCAGCCGCGCACGGCTCGCGATGCTCCGCGTCCTCTCTTGATACGTTGGATTGATTTTACTCGAGAGCAATCTACTCGGCGAAACGTCTCTCCCTTTATCGGCCACGTTTATGCTGGAATCAATCGGGGACTAAACAAGAAGAACCCAGCGATTCGCGGACGTTCTCGAGTCTTCGAAACGACCGTTTCCGAAACACCTCCGGTCGGCCGTGAAAGGAAATGTTCACACTCTACTTGCTTAGACGATACGCGAAACGACAATACTTTCCGCTTATCTCACGGTTAACAGTCGATAAAACCGTTATACTAAAAATAGCCGCCTCGAATTACCTCTAAATGGTTCGTTACGCGAGAAATCGAGCAAACGTTCGACGAGTTCGAACGCGAAATCGGTGGACTGGAATTTCGGTTACGCGAAACCTCGCAATCGAACTTTTCTTTTCCGTGGAACCGACTCCTCCAGTCCGTACAACGAAGCAGCCGGTAACCTTCCGCTGCGTTTTATATAATTACCTTATGGTATACCTTGAAAGTTCGGCTTAGAATTTCTCGTAGCCTCGGTAGTTTCCAAGATATTCCGCAAATACGTTTCATCAGCCTAACGTTTAACGGTTATCGCCGTTCCCGGGACACGGACAGTCTCCGGTAAACGGAATACGTGTCAAATATTTTTGCGAGAACCGCTCTCCCCGCGAAAGTTCCAAGAAAATCGACGAATGTCACTTCGGTATGTTCCGTTGTGAGCGACACCGATGTAGGTGGCCTGATTCTGCTAGGGCACGCCGCTCGTTCCCTCGAAAACATACTATTCGCTGTCATTGTTAACAATTTCGAGGCTCCATCGGTTACCGCGCTTCCGCCTAATTCTCCCTACTTACTTATTCACTCGCGCGTGAATCGCGATTCCTCGCGTTATCCGTCGAAATCGATTTCGCGCCTGGAAATGTCGCTTACCCGTTTAACTCGTGTAATTCACAATTATACGACGGACTCGTCGAATAAATAACATTCTTTTTCGATGACACAACATAACACTGTTTCCTCGAATTTTCCCATTTTCCGATTGCTATGCACTTTCAATTTCTATTAATACAGATCGCCCCGAAATCCGATCGATCGTTTACGCGTGTAGTTAATCGTTCCGTTTGACATTTTGACCGAGGCTCGCCGAGTATTCCTAATCTGCATGCCTATCCGTAGATTGCGAGCGTCTAGCCTTTTTCCGTTTCGAACGAAAAAACGAATTATCCCGACAACGTTGCGGGCAAGAACGAAGCATTCCGCGAAACGCGGCTTTAACGTTTACCAAGGAATCTTCGATAACCCGAAAATACCAGCGGTCTCGCAGCTTTGCAGATTTTCGGATCATTTCGATGGAAACCAGGCTGGGCTGTGTAATTTCTCGATACTTTGTGGTTTTTCAGGGTTAAAAACCGTTTAAACTTCAATTACCGGCTTTTCGATAGTTCCCTGCCCTTCGCTGGCTCCGATAGACGCGAGACGAACGATTAAACTGGAAATAACGTCGAGAAACGTTCGAAAACTCGCGGATTCGCAGGAGACTCCGAGAATCTCGCGTTAGTTTCGGAAAGGTGTTTCAAAGGTTTCCCCGTGTCGGCTGTAATTTCGGAAACATAAAGAAAAGTGGGATACAGATATCGACGTTTCCGGTGAGCTTTTATTCCCAGGGAAACAACGAGCGGCGAGAAAAATTTCTTGACTCGACTTTCACCGGGAATTTCAACGAATCTCTAGAGTTTCGGGAAGAATCGGATTATTCGATGTCGGGATTTCCTCCTAAGAAATGTGTTAACTTCATCGAACGTATTGTGCACATTGTGTACATTGTGTACGGAAAAGTTGTTCTCGGCCAGCCAACGACGGAAAGTAAGATGAAACACCCCCGGCAAAGTGTGGACGATAACACTCAAAGAAATATAGTTCGCGATGAAAAAGGTGGCTTTACTATCTGTAGTTCGGTCTATCTCGTGTCATTTAATACCGAACGACCTGCGTACGGTGCCTCGCCGATATTAGACAATTTTCATATCTCTTTTTATCGGCTGCACCAATTACGGACATTTTTCAAACGAGTTTACACAATTAACCCTTTGAGAATATTTTTCTCAACAAATATTCATTATTTTCTGATGAAATATCAATGATACGTAACACTAAATTCAAGAAATGTTTCCTTGAATATTAATTCAAAGTTAAACATCGATCAACCACTTCCTGTCTTTAAATATTCTTGTTTATTTCGTTTCTGCGTCGGGAATCGAGGGAATCATTAATGATAATTTATTCCTTTTTCCGTTGAAAACCGAAGGCTTTCAGAAGCTGAAGTTCACGGTGTTATAATTTCTCGTTAAAACGACGATTTTAATCTGGAAACCGAGAACCGCGAATGTTTCGAATTGTGGGGATTGCTGCGGATCTTTCGATGCCACTGATACACCACGTGTGAAAGGTTAAGGGGCTGCTCGGTATTCGCTCGAATTAGGTCAAAAACGGATATCTCCCTTATTTCATATTTTTCTCTGGCGCGGATGCTCCAGAACGTCTTCCTAAACGAACATCCGACTAATTTCCGATATTAATAAAGCTACACGGGTTTCGAAGTCGAGCGTAGCTCCGGAAAAACGAAACGATGCGCACTGTTCCGGTCCGAAGATTTTCGTGACGTTTCAGCAAAAAATTCCATTCCCCTTGAACACGGGGGACTTAATGAAATTTAAGAAAAACCGTAATTGCAACGAATACTCGCGGCGGGATATTTTAAAACCTACATTTTTCACATTTTTCCCAAGTAAAGAATTCTCTCTCGCGTGAATTACACGTTGCGTTTAAGAACAAACGGAAACGGTTAACATTGTTCGCAATCGACGAGGGATCGATCTTTCAACCGAAACGCGTATAGTTTGGTATTTTTGCAAAATTCGATTCCGATTAATCGCGTTCGGCGTAATTACGTGGGATTCGCTGTTTCGTTCGATTACGCGAGGTATCGGAATATAAGAAAGTTTTCTGAGCAACTGTTTAGATTACAGGGACACGGAACGCTGTGCTGCGGATAATCCCGCGACTAAGCACAGCAGTTTTTGTCCGCATCCAGTCGAAACAGCGCAATCCGGGGCAGCACGGCAAGACTTAATTAAACTGCTGATTTCGTCACAATTTCTAATAGTGCCGTTCGCCTCTCCCTTATAATCCGGGAATGAAGTTTCCTCGATTTACAATTCAAATTGCTCCAGAAACCGCCGAACAGATGCTTTAATAAACAACTTTAACGTTTCTCTATCGAGCCGTCGAGCTAAGGCTAGGCTCACGCGTCGCTTTTACGCGTGCTGAATTTTATAAAGGTTATTTACCGAACGCTCGCGTCGATTCTCGATCGATGCACGAGCGCGTGCATCCTAATTTTCGAATCTCCGATGCCCGAGATCGAAACGGAGGGACGTTTTCCAGAAACAGAGTAATTGATCTGTAGGGTAAATAGGTGCGAGTAAACCTACCGTTGGAGGGACGCTTCAACAAAATTAAACTGTGTCACACGACGTGTCATTAGAACGTGGGAGAGTCACTGTCTCTTCGCATTCTTCGATGAATGTTTTATTCGACCGTTCGTCGAGCCAGTAGATTATATTAAAATTACAGCCAACGATCAGATTATTTGCGATCGGAACAACATTCTTCCTCGAATACCGTCTGAAACATCGAAAATATTACGCGGTAATAACGCGTACGCGCCATGAAACATCTACAAAGCGTTTTTCTCGAAGCCACGTTTTTCAAGCCGGTTGACCTGATTTCTAATACAATCGTAACCCGATTACCTCTAAATTATACACCTTTTCCTGCCGTGCAAATGGATAAATTTCAGTAATATTTCCCTGCCTCGCGGTGAACCGACTAAACAAGTTTCTTCTCGAATGAGGTTTATTTCTTAAATCGACTGCCGATTCTTAATTAGAATAAACGTCATTTTATCGGTCGCGATGGCAGTTTTGAAAATTGTTTAACGGCGTAGGAATATTTATCGAATATCGACATCGATGCGTAAATCGAGAATTATTTAAATGTTTCAGTTACGAATAAGAATATTCATTGTTATCGAAACGATGTCATCATTTCTGCTCGCGTACTTTTTAAATGTCGGTTCTTGTAGCTGACAAACATTAATCAAAATTACCTGCTCGTTACGCCTGAATACGCCCTTCTAACTGGGATGATTTTAACACTCCGCACAACAATTATCCTCATGAAATTTCACCCGCCTGTTTAAGGGTTAATTACCATGGCCTTGTTACCGTTCCGCGGTTCCGTAACCTAACGTGTCTTAAAGGCCTCGTATAAATAAAATAACACTAAACGAAAGTTAATATACATTATTTAAGTAATAATTTAGGAATAAACAAAGTGAAGTTTAAAGAGACTCGTACAACTTTCGAAATTAGATATTTGATCGTATCGTGTGTTTCATGATAATGATATTGATAATAATAATATTATTACGGTTTTTGAAAGATACAATTTCACGTACGACGAGGTAAACCCTTAATGATTCTCGTTAATGTTATAAACTCGATCTTACAGTTTCATTTATTGGCGAACGCTCGAGTAATTATTTATATTTTTGTATCGTCAAGCTAATAAAAGGATCTCGTAAGTCCGTATATAATTTTCAATAATCGATACCTCAACCGGTGGAATTAAATAATTTTGTGTCGAGTCTCCTTCTCATTCCCATTTATATTCTTATCAATTTTCGTGCTTAATTACTTTTCATATTAAGCTCGCGATGTCTTCTTTCCATAAATTTCATTGTAATAAATTCTATCGCGTACTAGCATTCGTTACAAATATTAATGTGCAACGAAAAAATACGTTTCAGGATGAAATCTCGCGCTAAAAAAGAATTTCCATTAATATTGATCGTCGATTGCTTACTATTCAAAGTTAACCCAAAAGTCAAAGTTAAACTGTACTAGGCAAAGACTCGATCGAATGAACCTAAAAATAGAATGAATTATTTCGGAAACGTCGAAGACTCCCGCAAATAGTTAACAACGGAACATAAAACTAACATTCGCTTTGGAAACGAACGAATTCGCTTTCCAGAAGTCGCAGAAACTCCGTCGCGAGTCTGTGTCAATGGGTCAATAATAAAATGAAAATAGAAATAGAATAAATCGAGTTTCGAAGAAAGAAACGAAGGCAAAGGAGCCACCCGTCCCACTCGGAACAAAGGGCTGTCCTTTATAGCCGCAACCGGAGGACACGCGGCATGATCGCCGTATTAATAGGTTAGTCGGTGTGTGACATAGTTGTGTGCCCCGGCTGAGGAAACTGCCGTCTCGCTCCGCAGTGATAAGTGGTATAGGCGAGGGACAAGTCAAACATCGTAGACGGCTCGGGATCAAAGACGCGCGAGAAAGGAAAGATTAAAAACGCAATCGTCAGAATTGACGTCACCGGTGTGGCGAGCCAGCCCCGAGGGTCGGGCCGGCGAGATTATCGAGGCTTCGGCCCCGGAAATTCCCAGGAAAAATACGACCTTTTCTCGGCCACGCAGGACATTCCTTCGATCCACCTAAACGCGGCAAATTTCTACCGTTCGCGTTACACCACGAATCACTCGCGCACCACCCGCATCGATTAACTCCGCTTTCGGAATTTTCACAGATTTATAAGGATTTCGTCGTTCGAACGCTTTATTGGCCGTCTTAACGGTTCACTGCCAACTAAACACTCATTAAAACTCATACACAGTTGAAATACTTTGTGAATTTTTTCGGATTTCTTTGGATTTGATCGTTGAAACGCTTTATTGGCCGTCTTAACGGTTCACTGCCAACCAAATACTCATTAAAACTCATATACAGTTGAAACGCTTTGTGAATTTTTTCAGATTTCTTTGGATTTGATCGTTGAAACGCTCTATTGGCCGTCTTAACGCTTTGACTGCCAACGTTCATCGAAACTCAGTCGAAACTGTTCTTCGTTAAGCTTTTTCCCATTAGAAACTGAAGAGTGAATATTCTTCGTGATAATTGCTCTACTATCTTCCTTATACCTCGTACAGCCAACGAAATTCGGTTTGCTCGATGCGTCACCGAGGAAATGTTCAAATTGCAGTCAAAGTATCACCGTGTTATATTTCAGAGAAATTTCATCGTGACTCTGTACCACGAAATAATAAAAAGTCACATTTCCGAAATGAATATGCAACCATCGCGTCGGTTTCCTCTACTTTTTGTTCCGCGGAGTTAATCGATTCGTTCGACGAGTGGCTCGAATAACCCCCGGGATAAATTCCCTTCCGTTTTCGCCGTTAAAAATAACACAAAGACTTATCCCCCTTTTTTTAAAAAAAGAAACAAGACGAAAGAAGCGAATTCCTTTCCTTCGTTTACTCCCCGTTATTATTAGTTGCGCGGCAAGTTTCTCACAAAGTGGTGTTCCTTTTGTCGAAGCATTGACAATACCTCTCGATATTATTGTACAAATAGAAGGTTATTAGAACGAGGTAGAAAAATGGAGGGAGGCGAAGCACGAACAGGAAAATAAGATGGGCGCAACGAATGAGTAATGGGCGAGGTCCGGCTGAATGGCAGCGGCCGCCGTTACACGGGCCTCGGGAAAATCGAGGGAGAAAAGTATTTCGGACACAATCTAGAATATTAGACGCTGTACGGCCTGGATCGAACATGTTCAATGGCGAAGCAAACGAAACGCTTTTGTCCCGCTTTCGCTCGGAATCGGATATTCCAAGTCCGCGCTTGAATTTCGAATGTCGACGAATACGGCGTATCCCGTTAACGAAATTGCTCTTAAAACGAATCATTTTAATCGCGCGCACCGAAAAGCGTAACGACGCGTCACACGGAACGAAGAATGAAGAGTTCCTGACACTCTGCCAAAGTATTTAAGTAGTTCGTTAGCAACACTCGGTTTATTATGGTAATAATAACGATACATATTTCATGATGGTCTAGCCGATGCATACAAGGCACGAATGCATAAAATCCACCGGTTAACTATAGCTCGAGTGCAGATGTTTATACCAACGTTTCTATTTGCATCGACTGTTTCGTTCGGTCCGCTAATAAATATTAAAGCTATCCCGTCGACGAGCTGCCAGCGCGGTCCAAATCGAGAACACTTCTCCGCGTTTCCCTTTCTGCGAGTTGGCGAAGATCATTCGCGAGCTAGAGGAATGTATCATCGAAGCGAGCTTATTTGTTCGATTTTTAGAACGAGTTCAATCTGTCCACCGTGGATCTTGAATTCAGTTTCGAAAATCCCTCTTGATATAATATATTCCAACGAAAAGCTACGGTAAAACGAACAGTGACATACTCGTCTGGAAAAATTAAAGGCCGACTTTTAACGCGGTCAAACGCAATTAACCGGTTAACAGCGAATTAACCGATCCGAGCGAAAACTTTTAGAAGCGGTAGATTTATGTTCCACGTGTACGTTGACCAAGTTATCGTTTCGAAGAGAAATAAATATTTTTATAGAAAATGTTATTCCATCGCGAGCCATCGCAAAAATAGGTGGTCATTACTACATCGATTTTATACCGGTGGCTTCGTGACTACTCCCCACTGGTTCGTATTTCACTGATATTGAAATATGCGGTTTCAAGGCGATGCCGCCGGGAGCCAAAGGGTTAACACGTTCACTGCCACGTTGGTCGCCGATCGGCTTCCGAACTCCTTGGAAACAGTTGCAATAAGAAAACTGCTGTCAAACGTATTTCGTAACAACGTAACATCCGTGATACCGATTCATCGATAATTAATTCTACTAGCATTCTACGAGCATAGTGCAGGGGAGAGATGACCCACTTTGTTTAAAACAACTGTTACACAAGAAACATCGTTACCCAACGAAACGAACATTCTTTTCTCGAATGTGAACGCATGCAAGAATAGTTGAATAGGCCTTTGTCCAAGATTCGGTGTATCGCTCGGAACGATCGAAGCTACAGATACTCAACGATGTAAATCGGGCCATCTACCCTAAAATTCTCAAATATTTTCAATGCTCGTGTCAGTGATATTTACGATGTATTGAAAAAAAGTGGACCATCCCTAATTCTCGATGCAGCGAACGTGTTAGCGTCTCGAAACTCGCCAATGAAATTTTCCAGAACCGACAGTTGCGTTACTCGCCAGACTTTTTCGCGGCGGCGTTTAAAAGTTTCCGCTAAAGTTCGAATTAAAGGTGGAAAAAAGTGGGAGACCGAGCTGCATCGTTAACCCTCGTCGGAGTTGTCGTTTTATCGCGTTTCGCGCATTTGCATAGCTCGTAAACGGATAAAGTCCGCGGCCGGATATCACGATTTCGGCGAAACGCGCGCGCGGCCCGTTGTCGATAGTTCCGCGGGCCGGTAATGTCAGGCCGTTGCCAGATAGCCGGGCTGACAAAACCACGCCCGATAACTGGCATCTGAAACGGCCGCTGGAAATTGGCACAGAAATAAGAGGAGCGTGTTTGAAAATATCGTAACCGCCCCGCGATCCGAGGCGGCCATTAAAATGCATTCGCGCGGCGCGGCGCGGCGCGGCGCGGCGGCTGGAATTGCTGGAATCGCGACGCGCTGCGTCATCGCCGCCCGGTTTTAGACCTTAAAAGGCGCTGCGTGCACGTCACTGCCGGCCAATTTTAGGCCCGCCAACACGGAAACACGCGTCATCGGTTTCCTAGCCGTATTAATAACCGTTCTTCGGCTGTTCTCTTATTTTTAAGAGACGCCCGCGAACCGACGCGGCGTCCATCGGTAGGTCAATCTACCTACCAGCCGTTTTATCAATCATTAACCGCGGCCTTGACACGGAGAGGCTACCAAGCATCGCACGTGCGAACTTTTTGTTTCCTTTCGTTCTGCCTTGTTTTCCTGGAAGAGACGGTGGAAAAGTTCCCGGCAGAAAAACGAAAAGTTTCTTCAAAGAATCGACTGAAATCATTGATTAGTCGAGCGTATGGCTTGCCAGCGGGGACGCGGCGGAAAGGGAACGATAGCGGAATAGATATTCCACTGTTTAAAATAGATTGTTTAGGAAATAATCAGTAGTTGAGTGTCTCTTTTCTATTCTGTCGTTTGTTTAATCTTTCGATGGATTCGACGAAAGGGTAGCGATTGTTAGCAGTTAAGAATAAATTCACTATTGTGGAATTATCTATATAAATTGTATTGTTACTATCGTTGTACCATATGTTTTTCAAAGAGAACAACGACAATGAAATGCCGTTTTTCGTATGTTTCAGACGTTTTGCGTGGTTTCCAAGAGATTTCGTAAGAACTACATCCACAGGTTCACAGCGACGAACAGTTGGTTCATATTCTCACCGTGGAATCCTATAAGACGGTACTGTATCTTCCTAAGTACGAATCAGTACTTCGATTACATGGTCATGGCTACGATAATATTAAATTGTGCCTTCCTCGCCATGACGGAAACCATCGAGGAAGCAGAGTAAGCTCGCCGCAGTGTTTTCATTAAAACGCCGCCGCTCGAGAGTGTCCAGACACTTGCTAATTACCAACTGAGCGTACCCCGAATAACGATCAACCCTAAAATATCATATGTAATAATTCTGTAACGCTTATTTCAAAATTTATCGCATCATCCCCTGCGCGATACGATTTACTGATACTTGCCTTTCATTTTCACAAACTTTTTGAAATCTAAAATAACGATTAGATAATTATCAGTGGACATTTCGCATTGCAACTTAATGCGTAATTTGTTAAAAAACATTATCCGAATGTTTCGAAACGAAAGAACCACGGGAAACCCAGTTGTTCGAGGGTTAATTTCAGAATTAGCCGGTGCATCGTAATTAAGAAAGGCACTCTCATTCCTCGTTCGTTTATTCGTTCACCTCGGCAGCGAAATATATTATTCATCGACGACGGACACGACCGATCTGTTATATGTAAAATACGGATACACTGCGCAAACTGTCTCGTTGCATGCGGTATGCGCAGCAAGGCTGGATTCGGTATACTAAAATAAGAAAAAACAAGTGTGCACCCGATATGACCTTGTTTTCGAGTTACAGTTTACTTTGTGCCGCAACAATCTTTTTCGTCAATAAACGAAACGTGGCTACGTGTGTAGAAAATAGAGAAAAAACACACACACACACACACACACACACACAACATTTCTCCGGCCTTGTTGTCTGCGAAACTTTAGTCGGATTAGATCGGGCGAATTTGTAAACAGTACGCGAGTTATCGTATCGCGTTAGAACCGAGGGTGGTGCCCACTTCGATGTTTCTGAATATAGGTGAGCAACTATAATGCTACAACACAAAACAAGCTGTAACTCGTAAACAAGGTCGTGTATCGGCCATATGTTTATATGCACTTTTTTTCTACTTTTAGTACACGGAATTCGACCCCGCCTCTCGCGTACAAGGAGACACCCGGCGCGTTGCTTTTCATTCCAATGCTGATCCTCGATTATTCCCCTGGATTCTTATACGACAAACTTGCGCAACAATCGCGATCGCGAGAAATACGATTAACCAGTTAACTGTGGAATTTAGTTGGAAAAACTTAAAAAAAAATGGAACGAATGCACGTAGATATTTTAATGAAAGATCAAAGCAAAACAAAGAATTACAGGTTTATGTGAGAAAATAAAGGATTCATCGCTGAAAGAATTAGTATCGTGTCAAGCTTTAGGATGACGTGTATACTCGTGAAACACAGTTAACTGGTTGATTCTGAACCCCTCGCGCCTTAACCCCTTGGCGTACTATTTACTTTCGGAATTAAGCTCGTGTAACATTTTACTATCGACAATTTGGAAGAAATGCAACGAAATTGTCCATTCTACTTCAAGTGGAAATTTCATTTGAAGATAATACGTTGATAATAGCAAAATATTTGTGTTTTGATCCGTGAGTAACGAACAATATTGATTGTTGCTAAATTAGTCTAGAAATCTACGAGTCTCACTATTTTAAAATGAATTTAGGGAACTTCAGTTTGAATTGTTCCTTCTGGAGATAAATTAAATATTGATTTTCCAAATTCGAAATAGAATTTAGAGACGATGTTTTGCAGTTGTGAGAAGTACCCAATGTTCATCACAGGGATCGATAAACGTAATTTCAACGTTAACGAATAACTCTGATTTCCGTTTGTTACAATAAACATTGTTGGTTTGCTTTCACTGTAATTTATAAAATGCAATTAACCCTTGATCATCTAATCTGGGACACAAGAAACGACAACGTAATCTCAACGTTAACGATTAGCTCTGATTACAATAAATGTTGCTTTGCTGTTGCTCTAATTTATAAGCAAGATGCATTAAGAGAAATCATGAATGATATTTCTTTGATTTGTTTAAAATAATGCTTTTATTGCATCTTAAACTGCACGAGCAATAAGAGTTGCGGTGTAAGTTTCTTCTCGACGGTTAAGGGTTGATTTCGATGTTAACGCATTAAAATAGACAAGTAAATTTCCGTGCTAACTGTGGCAAAAAAGCGTTCGTTTACATAAGAATCCGCAGTCTATCGATCACTCTTGATTTTCGTCTTGTTTGCACCTGCAGAATCACGCGCAATCAATATTCTTCAACCCTTCGCGAACCAAGATTTTCCAAAGTACTAACAGCGTACCTCGCGGAACATTGCATTGTTCATGAATGCTTGGGGCACCGCGAACAGAAAAATTATAGGTTCTTCTCTGTTTTCATTTGAATAATTCAATTATTCGTGTATAATTTAAAATCCAAGACGCAACTCGCGAGGGATTGAAACGCGGCTACTGCATGCAGTCGAACATCTCCTGTAATATTAATTCCGAAGTGAGGCTCTACAACGTTTTCTTTCTTTATTTCGAGATCGAAGCACCGTATATAAAATAACTGATCGCATAATCCTATCATCGAAGATCCAGGAGTGACTAAAAATAATTCGTTTAAATACCGAATAAATACGCAGCTCTTATTCTCTCTATTTAGTCACCGGTACATTTACCTTCTAAACATTCTCTACGCAAACAATACGGTATCCAAACTCTTCGAATCCCCTAGAGAAAACAGTGCACTAGAAGCTGGTAGCTACGTAATCGATACACAAAACGATTACATAAACCGGCGATGATCGGTACGTCGGACAAAGCGACGGCAACAACAATGCAATTGAACCGAACGACGCGACGTAAGAATCTTTTCTTCGAGGCGCACTCGGCGGATTGAAAATCTCGTTCGGACGTGGCGAAAGGAGAGCGTGAAAAATTCATTTGCACGTATTAGAGATTCAAGTGTCCGGGTACTCTCGAGCGGAAGTGGCGGTTTATATTTACCGAACGCCGCCTTATATTCGCCGGGCGACTCACCGGCGGTCCCGCCTCGCCTCTTTCTTTCCAGATATATATTCCTAGCTATATACACAGCCGAAATGGTGATCAAATCGATAGCGAAAGGATTCGTGCTGAATAAGTACACCTATCTGCGGAATCCCTGGAACTGGCTGGATTTCGTGGTGATCACCAGCGGATACGCCACTATAGGGATGGAAGTAGGGAATTTAGCGGGGCTGAGGACCTTCCGAGTATTGAGGGCTCTGAAGACCGTTTCAATTATGCCTGGTAAGATCCCGAGGAACAATCGGAACCGCGTCCCCATCGATTCCGTTCGCAAACAACGCGCCGGACCGCGGACGTTCCTGCAAACATCCATTTTTATTCACCCTCCCGTTTGGTCTCCAATAAAATCGGAATCTTCCTAATCTCCGTCTAATCCTTTACCGAGTCGCTCGTCGGCGCGACGTAATCATCGGACTGCTTCCATTCCGACGGATTTTCATGGTGCAGCCGACATTCCAGGTACAGCTGCGCGAAACGCATCAGGTTGAACGCCGCGCGATTTCATAGAGCAAAGTACACAAAATGGGAAAAATATAATATTAAATGATTTGACTCAATTGGATTATTGCCATCGCACGTTCGTCAAACTGAACGTCACCGCAATGGGTAGCATTATTTATAATATAGAAATGTTTGAGAATAATCATCGTTTAATCGAGTGAATTATAGTAATTCGATTTGCTTGTTAATCAGTTAACTGTGTTCGACGAGTATACGCGTCATTTTAAAACTCTTAACGGTGCCAACTTTTTCAACGATGGATCATTTTTTTTTCGAGACAAACATGTAATTCTTCTTCGTTTCGCTCTAGTTTCTCGTTAGGATATATTCCAAGTGCATTTGGCCTGCATTTGACGAGTATACGCTTCATTACTTTATTTTATTGCGCGCACAATGAGAGATTTTTCAAACTAAACTCCACGCTTAACACGTTCCGTGCCGCGAGAGGCGTATACGACCCACGCTGAATTTTCCGTTCAGACCGAAAATGAGTTCTCATTGAAAAACGAACAACTTTTTCAAAATTTATTGTACAGTCAAAGATAGGTATTTCAATAGCACGCATACCGCGGTTATTTAATTTTAATCGATTGCGAAAATGTGGCTCGTATACGCCCCATACGGCCCGAAGAGGAAGTCCTGAAAAAATGATCCGGCACGGAACGCGTTAACCGGTTAAGAAACAGATTTCTATGTTCGGCCCTCTGCTCGCGAGTGGTCAGATTTGAACCGAAGGATCGTTTCCGGACTCGCGATTGGATTTGTCGTTTCGCAAAGGAGGGAGCGCGCACTTTCAGCTCGGCACGGACGTGCCGAGGCGACTGTACGTTCACGCTTGGTACGGTTAAATGAAACACGACAAGAAAGTGCGAAACAGCTGGCGTATCCATTTCGAAATGCATAGAAATGCTTGTACCTGCGAAGTTTCCCTTGACTCGCTATCTAGCGCCTACCGTTTGTTACTCGAGTCACGTTGCCGTAGTAAATAAGTGCATCAAACGTACAATTTACTGGCTAGCGGGGAACAATAGATCATACCGCGGGAATGAAAGGAACAAAAAATTCCACTTTTCCGAGGAACACTCGAATCCGCCTTAGCTTTCCGAATCAATTCGAAATCTAACCGACTAACGGTGAACACGCGACTTCGTAAAAGGTTCTAAAATTTCTCATTATCGTGTTCGTTAGGAGAAATACTAATTACAAGATACCGAAACTTTGCACTCGGGAGGTGACTAAAACTAAAGTCTGATATTTCACGTCGAAATATTGGAATAAACTGGCTCAATGTATTTGTAATTTCGAGTTAGTTCCAAAGAATATCTTTGTGAAAAAATGTGAAATGTTTCTGAGAAACTTCCGAGTGCAAAGGGTTAAGAGAGTCAAACAATTTCCATTCTGTCGCAAAAAATCAAAGTAGATCGCGTTGAACCGCGTTCTATGCGAATGTCAGCGCGCAATTTCGGTTGTCAGATATTTCATCGGATTTCGCGGCGCGACGATAAATCCGAAAACGGCGAGAGGCCGACGAGATATAATTGCGGAGATACGTATCTTTCGAGCACCGTGGAAAATGGCGCGGTCCAGGGGCCAATTAGTTTGGCACCGGCGGTCACCTGTGACTCTCCCGCTGCAGTCGGGCTGTTAATTTAATCGACGCCCGGTAGCCAGAACAAATTCATTCGCGGCACGCGACAATTAAATCCGTTTTATATACTTTCAGGTTTAAAGACCATCATCAACGCGTTATTACATAGTTTTAAGCAGCTGGCCGAGGTGATGACGCTCACGATCTTTTGCCTGATGGTGTTCGCGCTGTTCGCGTTGCAAGTCTACATGGGCGAGCTCCGGAACAAATGCGTGAAGAACATCGAACTGAATAACACGCAAATCGACTGGAACGAGTACGTATTATCCGGCGTACGCGTCGACGAACACCGAGAAATGGACGCTGATAAACATTTGAACACCTGCGCCGTGCGAAACGAACGCGACAGTCGACCAAGTAGCGTTTCTTGCTCTATATTAGCATAAAACGTGATCCGTTGGACTCTATCGTGCGATATCCGGATCAAATTTATTCGATTCGAGAGCTTTAATCGTTTGCACTCGACAAGTTTTTCATTGAAAACACGTAATATCATTATTTCACGGTACGCAGACATTTCCTGCTATCGACTTGAGAAGAAATCATAAATCAACGAACACAGCTGTTTCATTTTATCTATCTGCATTGCAAAATTCAAGCAAAATTTCTTATTTCATTTCTAGATTATTTTTCAGAGTACGTTTCGCATTCGACGTTTGTCCTAATCGTTATCGGCGAGGGTTGCAGCAAGGTGTGAAAGATGTCTGTGGCCAATGTCGAAGATAACGAAGGATCGAGAGGAAGAAGGAAGATTTAATGTAGATTTTCAGTAAAATTCTGCGGCAAATGACAACGATTTGACGTAATAACTTCGACGATAATTCAGGGCTCACGATTTTGCGAGATACGGCTATAAACGCTCGCACGGCCGTTGATAGACTACAAACGTTCAAAAGAGCACGTCACTCGTGCATCGAATTCCTGAGAACATTTTCCTTCCTTTGAATTGAAATGAAAATTTTAAGAGAAAACTGAGATGCATTTGCGTGCAGTGTATTTTAAAAGACACTTCACTCTTTAAGTGACATATACGTGTATACGTGTACACACACGCGACCGACAAATGACGTCTGCGTGGACTAGGAGAGAAATGTTTGATGACATTTTACGTGAACGTTGAACTTGATATTTTTGCCGAGAGAAATCGTAACCGACTGAAAACGAACAATGACACGATAAATTGCCAATATTGCGAACAACTATTATCGTATCGCAATAATAAATTCAAACAAATTTATCATTCGCTTAACACTAGAACTACGTACCAGTCAGACTGACTGGTTTAGATTTCTTTGTTCAGCAATTACCGATATGTTCGAAGCATTGAATGTTCGAAATGATTTTGAAAATAAATACAATTTTTATAGGAATTGCATATCAATCGTATTAAATGCTCGGTAGTTTTAGTGTTAAACAAAGATTATACGCCTTCCAATCTGATATTCTGTTACGTTCAACGATGCTCAAACATTAGATACCCAATTAATTTCTAAGTGTAACAAACAAAGATTCGAGAAAGCTCCGAAAGTGTCTGTTCGAAACCGTTATACATCGGTTCCACTGAAACAGTTACGTGAAACCAAGTGGTCACCGAACAAGGGTTACTTGATTTCTGGTAACCATAACTGGTTACAACTGGAGGACGGCCCGCGAAGGGAGCCAAACCGGTTGAAGCCAGTTTTATTTTGACTCGCGGTACGTGCTCCGAAAGTTTGGCACAGAGGACTCTTTACACCCTGTTGCGACAAGCCATTTGTGTATATCGAGCCGGTATGATGAAGCCTCGTCGAGTCTCGAAAGGCATTAACCTTAGACGATACCCTTCTCTGTTGCCGCCGCTGCCTCGCGTCTCCCGGCCTGGTCCACAGGTGGACTTGGAACTCGTCCAACTGGGCATTCGACGAAGACGAGGAGCCAATAATTTGCGGGAACGCGACCGGCGCCAGGTTCGCTAAACTTTGTTTTGTTATCGGCCGCGCTACCCCAATGACGTCCCCACGGTTTTAAACACGGCCGGGAACACTTCTGTCTTTCCAGACACTGCAACGAGAGCTACATCTGCCTTTGCGTTGGCCCGAATCCAAACCACGGCTACACGAACTTCGATAATTTCCTATGGTCGATGCTCACCACGTTCCAGCTAATTACTTTGGATTACTGGGAAGATGTCTACAATAAGGTACCCCGTCCGTCCGGACGTCTTCGCGTCTCGCTCGCCTGCTCCGGTTAACGCGTTGAACGCCGCACGATTTCATAGAGCAAAATATACAAAATGGGAAAAATATTATATTAACCCCTTCGCCTATGATTTCTTTATCAATTCTGATCGATACGGCTACTTTGTCATTAATAATTTATTGGAAAAAGAGAAAAATTCTAAGCATATGTTACGCCTATATTTCCTTTTAAGTATAATAGTTGATTACGGAGGAATAATATTTATTTTGAATTCGAATGAACCGAGTAATACATATATTTGTTGAATCATATTGAAAATCTTCACCACGAGTCTCATTCGCAGTTGTACCACTTTTCACTTAGCAACGTATTGCCTTTTATTCTGTTTACCTTTCCTTTTGTTGTTTAGTAAGTCTTGAAGTCGGATTATTTGCAGTCAAAACACAGTTTCTAACCGAATTCATTGAACGAGTTCAATTGAAGATAATGGAGGAGGTTGTAGTTATAGTTCTTTTTAGTCTAAGTATTAACATTCCTGGGCATCCTTGATCCACAAGGACTGCCATTGTTTGTATTTATGTGTATCACTTAGCATAGACTGTGGCTTCTCGTAAAAATAATGTAAATACTAGAAAACTACTGGACAGGTTTCTACCTGTCAGTAGCTGAAATGCGAAACAGCGAACAAGTAGAGGTAACAGATTTCTTGAGGTAATTGGGTCGGCGGAATAAGGGTGCTATTAAAAGAAGCACAGAATTCGCGATCAGGAAAATTCCTTAAAAACGCGTGGCCTTGGGGATCCGTTGACATACTCGGGTACACGCTATTTAAAACGCTTTGAAACCTTTTTTTACTCGCATCTATTTCATTATTAACGAGTGTGAATAAATTAGTTACCGTTCATCGATTCCGCTCTATTCTTGACACTTTTTCGCGAGTCGCCACGCGCCGGGCGATTTTTAGCCGAACGCCGAAGAATCGCAAGGTAATACCTCTCTCCCATGTGTACATAATTCAAACGTCGTTCGGCTCTCGGTGTAATTCGTACGGGTAAAAATAATTTCGGGAGAACGCGTTTTTCGTCTCCGGCGAGATTCGGATAACGATCGCGCACGGTACACACGGTGTGTCCCATTTTAATCTATAAATAGGATTTTCTTTGCAACGATTATACTTGGAAAAGTAATAGGCAATCTTCGTGTTTTCTAAATCTAGCGACAGATCAAGTGTACCAAATTATACTGTCTTCTCGAAAAAGAATACACTGCATTTGAGGGATGTAACCCCTTGCCGTACAATGAGACTCGTAATGAAGGTTTCTAGACTAATTTGACAATAATCGATGTTATTCGTTACCCACGGATCAAAGCAAGCAACCATTTAAAATGGTACATGAGCTTAGTGAAAGTAAATAGTACGGCAAGGGGTTAAATTAAATGATAAATGCTATATGGTCTCAGAGATAATTGCATTTGTACAAATCATTGTAAAAAGAACAGTTTTTTCAGAGTCTATCACAGGTTTGACAGAAACTATCTTTCGAATGATTTTTCAAATTATTCTTTCCGGCGTTTCGATTGTTCTATACGCTGCTCTTCCGAGAAACATAGAATTCTGATGGTGAATACCTTGTTTCGCAGGTGTTGTCGGCGTGCGGACCTATCAGCGTCTCGTTCTTCACGGTGGTCGTGTTTTTCGGCTCGTTTTACTTGATCAATTTGATGCTAGCCGTCGTTGCGCTGAGTTACGAGGAAGAAGCTGAAATTACAAACGAGGTAATATAATCAGGAACGAGTTACCGTTTCGTTTCACTGGTATTATTCGAGTATTCCTACTATAATAATAATAAAGTATACTCGCAGTAAAAGTGAAAGACGAGAAGGATTGAAAAGGATGAGCGGAGGTTCGATAAAAAGCGAAATAAAGCACCGAATCACGAAACTCGGACCCCTACTTTGGTTCTCTAGAAATCTTTCGCGACTTATAACACGTCTTACGTGATAAAGCCAGGAATGCATGTGCCAATGTCAGCTCGTAAAGCCTCGTAACGGTCTCAATTTCATTTCGATCTCAAATATGTATACGCGTATCTTTCGACTGATGAGGACATTCCGAACGAAGCTGTTGCCAAAAGTATCCGAAAAACATATCCGGCGATCGCGTAAGAGCCTCGGATGGATCTGGAAGTGTTCGGCATCGTTTGCACGAATATAAACGACTTCGATGCAGGACATCACTCGATGATAAAGCTGTTAGGCAGTACCATAAATAAGTTCGATCGCGAGTACGAACGTATTCTGATTCTAACAATTCAATCGCGACTTCGGATAAGCTGCTTCGATTAACAACACGGAACAAACAATTCTACGATATTCGACGAACACGATTATCCAAAATAGAGAACGTTCCGTTTCATTCGACTCGCGGCGGTAACGTTCGCCTCTGTCGCCAGGAACGAAGGAAAGATTTAACCGACCATCGCGAGGACTCGACGTTTAGTTTCGACCCGACAAAGATCAACGTGAAGACACTTGCCAAAGAGAAGCAGAAAAAGTTGGACGCCAGGAAGGGCGTTCTGCTGAGTAGCTACACGCGAAAGAAGACGCGGAGAAGAAGACGCGGAAGAAGCAACGCGGGCTCCGGCTCTTCCGGCCAAGAGAAGGGCAGTGCCGTGCCGAGCAGGTGCGTTCGACGTCGCCCGGAACGGCGGCGTTTCTCTCGGCAGGGTTGGAAACTAAAGGGTATTATCCGTTTGGCAGGTCAGTGACGCCTAGCCCGAGTCCGAGTCCTCGGCACTCGAGCGTCCGGCCGTCGCACCTGCTGCTGCAGAACGTCAGCCCCAGGACAGCGGAGAACAACACGGTGCACAGGCTGGCGCCGAACCGGGGGATGCTGCACTCGAGGCAGGCGAGCAACAACAGCAACCAGCAGTCGTCGCTGGACGACTCCGGGGTGGTGGACGACCACGACGCCGACGACGTCACGTCGGTCGAGGAGCACGACAAGCGCGACCAGCGGGAGCCCAGGGGAGAGTGGCAGGAGAAGGGGGCCAGCAACAGCAACGCGGACATCAACGTCGAGCAGGAGCACGCCCGGGCCAGGGCCAGGCCGGACGCCGACGCGGACGTCGACGGCGAAAGCGAACGGGAGAAATCACTGCCGACGCGCTCCGGGCACCTGCGGACGGCCACCAACGTGTCCGGCCCGCTCGCGGCCGGGACCACGCGAGAAATCAGGGTGTTCAAGTGCAACGGCGTCAAAACGAAGAAACAGATGTACACCCTGCCGCCAGAGTACCTGTCGCACATCGTCATATTAGGTACGCGGGGTTACGGGTTGAACCCGTGATTCGTTACGGCGAATCATTACGCGGCTGGGTTTTCATTATCGCGTTTCCGTCCGCAGATGATCTTCCGGATCGAAACTGCGAGAAATGCATACAGTGCTGCATCGATTACGAGGGTTGGCTGCGGTTTCAAAATTGTCTGTACAAGGTAGGTACGAAAAAGGTAAAAGAACATCAGGTCGAGAGGGGAGCGTGTTCGCAAAAAGCCGAAAGCGTTTTCGCGGCCAATTCGATACTCAATAGCTTTTCCGGATCTAAAAAGAGAAACAACAGCGACAACGACGACAACGGAAATAACAGCAGAGAAAAAAGACTGCTCACACGCCAACCGAAACATTC